GATATTAAGTTGAAACTTTATGTTGGATCTTTTAACACGATCAATCTGGCGACAAGACAAGGACAAGGGCGTAATGTCTATGATCTGGTGTGTGGTCTGTGTGGGATATCACAATGCTTAACCGCCGTGGAGCCGAGGGTGGTGGAGACACCGTGGCCGGTGGAGCCGAGGGTGGTGGAGACACCGTGGACGGTGGAGCCAAGGGTGGTGGAGACACCGTGGCCGGTGGAGCCGAGGGTGGTGGAGACACCGTGGCCGGTGGAGCCGAGGGTGGTGGAGACACCGTGGACGGTGGAGCCAAGGGTGGTGGAGACACCGTGGCCGGTGGAGCCGAGGGTGGTGGAGACACCGTGGCCGGTGGAGCCGAGGGTGGTGGAGACACCGTGGACGGTGGAGCCGAGGGTGGTGAAGACACCGTGGACGGTGGAGCCAAGGGTGGTGGAGACACCGTGGCCGGTGGAGCCGAGGGTGGTGGAGACACCGTGGCCGGTGGAGCCGAGGGTGGTGGAGACACCGTGGACGGTGGAGCCAAGGGTGGTGGAGACACCGTGGCCGGTGGAGCCGAGGGTGGTGGAGACACCGTGGCCGGTGGAGCCGAGGGTGGTGGAGACACCGTGGCCGGTGGAGCCGAGGGTGGTGGAGACACCGTGGACGGTGGAGCCGAGGGTGGTGGAGACACCGTGGACGGTGGAGCCAAGGGTGGTGGAGACACCGTGGCCGGTGGAGCCGAGGGTGGTGGAGACACCGTGGCCGGTGGAGCCGAGGGTGGTGGAGACACCGTGGACGGTGGAGCCGAGGGTGGTGGAGACACCGTGGACGGTGGAGCCAAGGGTGGTGAAGACACCGTGGCCGGTGGAGCCGAGGGTGGTGGAGACACCGTGGACGGTGAAGCCAAGGGTGGTGGAGACACCAAGACCGGTGGAGCCGAGGGCGGTGGAGACACCGTGGCCGGTGGAGCCGAGGGTGGTGGAGACACCGTGGCCGGTGGAGCCGAGGGTGGTGGAGACACCGTGGACGGTGGAGCCGAGGGTGGTGGAAACACCGTGGCCGGTGGAGCCGAGGTTGGTGGAGACACCGTGGCCGGTGGAGCCGAGGGTGGTGGAGACACCGTGGCCGGTGGAGCCGAGGGTGGTGGAGACACCGTGGCCGGTGGAGCCAAGGGTGGTGGAGACACCTTGGCCGGTGGAGCCGAGGGTGGTGGAGACACCGTGGACGGTGGAGCCAAGGGTGGTGGAGACACCGTGGCCGGTGGAGCCGAGGGTGGTGGAGACACCGAGGACGGCGGGGATGACTGATGAGGTCTGCCGAAAACATGTCTCCCAGAAACTGACCGTGGAGACGCCTCTGAACACGATACAAACTCATCATTTTGACCCAATACACTCTATGACTGACAACGAAAACGTCGACAATTTCAATGCCGTCAGCTCATGCCATTTTTCGCACAGAGAAGAAAAACTGGCCGGTGGGGGCAAATCAGCCCCCCCCCCCCTCAAATATGTAACAAGTAACAAAATATTCCGGCTACATTCCCAGGCATAGACCCGGGAACAGGGGGGGGGGGGCAGCGGGGGCGCTTGCCCCGAACTTGGGAGCCGAGGGGGCGGCACCCCCTCAACATTGAGGCAGCGAGAAAAGATATTTCCTCCCTTTTCCGGACTTCTTTCCTTCTTGTTTCCTTTATGCATCTACACATCAACACACGGCATTTTCCTTGCCATCTGAATGGTTTCTGCTGATACAGTATCGATTTGACAACATCTGCTATTGTCATCCCGCTTTGATTTGGGCCTGACCTTGGCCATAAGTTTGGCAGGCCATATTTTATACTGCACCAGCTTGAGTCAACTTTGAGAAATACATAACGTACAACGGTGCAGTAAAATCGTTGCTATAGGTATAACACAGTTTACCCGCTCCGGGTGTGATGGAGGGGTGTGGGGCAATGAGTGCACTGACGTGGCGCCCTCGGAGGGCCGGTATGGGATTGAAGCTCAGTGACACTAAGGGCTTTGTGTGGTGCCTTGGGTTATCGGTAGCACCCTCAGAATCACCGGCGTAGGGCCCTCAGAGCCGTCGAGTAAGGGGCCTTTAGAGGCACCGGTGTGGGGCCCCCATGCAGGTGCCGGTGTGGGCGCTCAGAGGTGCTAGTGTGATTCTCTCAGAGGCGCCGATGAGGGTCCTTACAGGCGTAGCTTTGGGCCCTCATAGACGCTGGTGTGGAGCCGTCACAGACGGGTGTTGGGCCTTTAGAGCTGCTGACGCGAACTCTCTACAAGCCGGCAGGGGGTCTCAGTGGCCGGCAAGGGGTCGTTAGGCCGGCAGAAGAAATCCTGTGGGGTCCTTAGAGACCGGCATGGTACTGTCGGACGCCGATGGGGCCCTCAGAGTCACCGGTGTGGGGCCCTCAAAAGTCACCAGTGGGTGACCTTTAGATGCGCAGGTGTTGGTTGGGTCCTCAGAACCGCCGATATAGGGCTTTAATAGGTACTGGTGTAGGCACTCAGAGTTGGGGGTGTGAAACCCTCATAGACACCGGTGTGGGCCCTCATAGGCGCCGACGAGGGCCCCATAGTTGCCGTTATGGGGCCCTCAGAAAAATAAGTGTGGGACCATCACAGGCGGGAAATGCCCCTAGAACTGGCCCCTCATAGGCCGGTAAGACCTCTCAGAGGCCAGTAACGGGCCTTTGGAGACAACCGAGGTGCCCTTAAAAGCCGCAAGAGGCCCTCAAAAGCCGGCGTGGGTCCCTCATGGAGATCTTAGTTTGGCTATTTAGGTTCCCATGGGGTGCTCTAACGAGCCCCATGGGGCCCTTCTGAGTAGAAATATGGCCATCGTTAACCCTCAGCGGTCAAATGGCGCCGCAGGGCCCCTCGGTCCCGAGGGTCCCTTTTATCCCGATTGGGGGGGGGGGGGGGAGTACGTGTCTCCTTAGACCCCTAGCTACGTCACTGTTTCAATGCATCATGTCAGGCATTTTAGGCTCGCCCCCCTCCCCAACTTGAAAATCGTTCCCGGGCCCCTGGTCCCAGGCTTGGCACATCACTCTAAACCCGGCCAAATGCTCTCACTTACCTACGTGTGTCACTGAAAGCAAAACTACTTCCGGTCCCCTTCAGCATTGGCGGAACCGTGCTCTCTTTTGTCACTAGCGTGAAAGACCTAGGCGTCATCATTGACGGCAAACTGAACTTTTCCGATTACATTGATTCAGTTGTAATCGGGCGTCAGCTCTCCTTATAAGGAGTCTGCAGGGCGTACGATGCGGCTGTTGTAATAGGAGTTATCGCAGCGTATTGTGCTAATGTCCGATCGGTCCTAGAGTACGGAAGTGTGATTTGGGCCGGAGCAGCACGCTCGCATCTAGAAAGACTAGAGTGCATTCAACAAATGAAAAAATGAAATGAACATAATGAAGTGCTCTAAGGAGGAACATGTTGAATGCAACTCAAAGAATAACTATTTAAATTTATTTACTTGTTTAATGATATTTTACCCCAAACTGGTTCAATAATTATAAACCATATAATTTGTTGCCAGCATAGGCGGCGGAACGGGGAGGGCACCGGGACACCGTGCCCCCTTTGATTTTGGCATTCTAACATTAGCCCTATGGGCGTTGCATGGAAAAATGGGACCAAAAGTCAGCAGTGCCCCCCCCCCTTAATTGAAGGTGTTCCGCCGCTACTGGTTGCCAGTAGCGCAGGTGTCCGGACAAAATCCCGAAAGGCGATTTGCCGAATGTCATTTTGCCGAACGTCATTTTGCCGATGTGCTTTTTGCCGACGTGTCAAAATGTCAAAATGCCATTTCCCGACATGCCTTTTCTTCCGAAATGCCAATTTGCCGAAATGCTTATTAGCCGAAATGTAAATTTGCCGAAATGCGATTTGCCCATTAGTCGAAATGTCAATTAGTTGAAAAATGTAAATTTGCCGAAATGTCAATCTGCCGAATTGGCAGCTTGCTGAAATGTCGATTAGTCGAAATGTAATTATACTTTTTGCACGTCGGCAAAAAGGCATGTGCGCAAATTTCATTTCGACTTTTAGCACTTCGCCTTTCTGACACGTCGGCAAAATGCATTCGACATATTGACATTCGGCGAATAAGCATTCCACAAAACGCAGTTCGGTAAATCGTTAGGCGGCACGGGCGGACATCGATAGCAGCGCCTCTATCGGTCACTAGGGAAAGCTGGGCTGTAGGCGACGAAACACCGGCTGAGTTGTCACAAGTTAAATAGGTTTATAGACATCCGTCTTGTGAAAAAGTTGAACTTTTGCCTTCAATATTTCTACAGGCAATTTTAGAAGTGCCTTCACATATATTACAAACCGTTTAAATTATCTTATTCACTTCAAGCCTTCCCTATTGTTCTTGATGATGCGGGAACTATTTCTAATTAGTGTTTCTAGCTTAGTAAAAGAACATATTGTGCAAACGATGAAAAAAGGATAAATGAAAGTTTTTAAATGCAATTTTCTGTAACAAATAATGGTAAATTATCTACACATCAAGGAAAAGGTGCATGCTAACTGATAATTTAAAGTTCTTGGGGCCAGTTGGTTTCTTCTTTTCTTACGTCGCCCCAATGGCCGCGAATACACTTGTGATAACGCCTATCGTTGTCCTGTAACCGTAGCGTAGGTGTCGTCCGAACTCCGAAGCTAATTTAGGGAAGTAGATGTAAGCGTCTGGTGACAAAATGTACCTGGGATAAAAATGGCATTCACACATTAAATACCATGTTGCAAGCCTCAAGATACACACGCTCCGTAATTGCGACACTTAGAGCAGTCAACACATTGTGAATGGAGTGTTTTAAACCTTTAACAATGCAATTTCCCACCAGCTCCCAGAGGCGGAGTTGGAGTAGGTTAGAAAATCGGAGGCGCACTCAGAGACGGCGCCCAAATATCGTAACAACAACGACAACAACAAAAACTGATCCTGAACAACAATGTATTGCAGCAGCCAGCAAGTTGGGTACATATAACTGAACTACAAGAAATCAGTAAAAAAAAAGTTAACATTTAAGGCTCAAAAGATGCAAAGATGTATGCCGCCCCGCAGACATGTCCTGCTCCCTCGTGTGGGTCGTTGTTTGTAGTCCACATTGTCTCTGAGTCCACATGTGTCTGTTGATCAGCGATCGTGAAGTCAACTGTGCAGGGCAGATTCAGCATGCGTACGAGCGCTACCTTGGTGTTTTCGAATGTGTCTTTTGAGAATGGAACGTACAGGTCACGGTTTTAGCGGTAGGTGAAGGGTTGTGAGTACTAAGTCCAGTGGAATGACATTTGGAGGGTAGGAAGACGCCATGGGGAACTCTGTTGTGTGTGAGTTTCATGAACCTAGGTCATTATCTTCAAGGTAAGCTGAGGTCCAATGTGATCGAAATTGCCATATTAGCGACAGTTTTGCGTTTACACGCAGATAACTCAAAAAGTTACGAGCCAATTTTCTGATTTCTTTCACTTTATGAAAGAGCAGACATTTCAGAGTATGTATGATAAGTTTCTAATTAATTCAACAATCAGTATGACATTTATAAGCCTGCAAAGAATATGTCACCCGCTGCGGCGGGATCGGCCGACGCAGGAAACGCGGCAATCACAATTTTGTGTTTACACGCTCATAACTCAAATTTTTATCAGTCGATTTCTAAAATTCTTTGACCATAAGATTGCTAGTACAGTTCTAAGTCTTCACACAAGATTTGACGCGAATCAAACGCATTCAGCGGTAAGGAGCACGATGTAAAGACAGAAGCGTCCAGACCTGCCACAGTGTACATTCCGGCGGCGCGTAATGAGCCTCCCAGACAGAAAATAGTTCCTGCGCCACTGTGAGCAGGGTTATTTGTAATGGACGACCTAGCGGCCGCTCCCCCTTGTGAGTCGACAGGTGAGTTTAAAGATGTGATGAAACTGAAAATCGAGCGGGGCATATGAAACAGCCGTTGCGGCCACTCTCCTGTGTGGATTCGCATATGAGCTATTCGGGCCGACCGTTGAACGAACCGTGCCGGGCACATGGAGCGGCCAAACGGCTTCTACCCTGTATGGGTCCTCATGTGACTGGTGAGAAGCGAAAGCTGAGCAAACCGTGCCGGACACATGGAGCAGTCAAAAGGCCTCTACCATGTGTGGGTCCGCATGTGACTGGTGAGATTTGAACGAAGAGCAAACCGTGCCGGGCAAATGGAGCAGCCAAACGGCTTCTCTCCTGTGTGGGTCCTGATGTGGCCGCTGAGACCCGATCGCTGAGCAAAACGTGCCGGGCAAACGGAGCAGCCAAACAGCTTCTCCCCTGTGTGGGTCCGCATGTGAATGGTGAGAATTGAACGAAGAGCAAACCGTGCCGGGCAAATGGAGCAGCCAAAAGGCTTCTCTCCTGTATGGGTTCGCATGTGTACGGTGAGAGCCGATTGCTGAGCAAACCGTGCCGGGCAAATGGAACAGCCAAACGGCTTCTCCCCTGTGTGGGTCCGCATGTGGTTGGTGAGGGTTGGACGCTGGGCGAACCGTGCCGGGCAAATGGAGCAGCCAAACGGTTTCTCTCCTGTATGGGTTCGCATGTGTACGGTGAGATGCCGCCGCTCAGTGAATCGTGCCTGGCAAATAGAGCAGCCATACGGCTTCTCCCCTGTATGGATGCGCGTGTGATTAATGAGGGCTGACCGATGAGCAAATCGTGCCTGGCAAATGGAGCAGCCAAACGGCTTCTCTCCTGTATGGGTTCGCATGTGTACAGTGAGGCTTTTAAGCTCGGCGAACCGTGCCGGGCAAATAGAGCAGCCGTGCGGTTTCCCCCCTGTATGGGTTCGCATGTGTACGGTGAGGGCTGATCGAAGAGAAAACCGTCTCGTGCATAATGAGCAGCCAAACGGCCTCTCTCCTGTGTGGGTCCGCATGTGTCTAATGAGATGTGCATGATTACCAAAACTGGCCGAACACTCAGGGCGCTGGTGGGGCTTCACACGAATACGAGATGTCCCGTGTTCTCTGTCGTTAGATATAGCTGAACACGCGGCACCAGACTGCTCACACTGCCGGACCTTCTCGCCAACGTGGACACGTCTGTGCATCGTCAGGGCACCGGGCCGTGTGAACACCTTCCCACAGATATCACACTTGCACGGACTCTGACCGGTGTGCACACGACGGTGAGCGGTCAGACCGACTTGTTGAGAAAACGTTTTGCCGCACACTTCACAGCGGTACGGCCGTTCTTTCGCGTGAGTCCTTCGGTGCCGCGTCATGCTGCCGAAGTGGTCGGTGACGTAAGAACACCACTTGCACTTGTATCTGCCGTTCACGCTTTGGCCATGTCGTCTCTTCAAGTGTCTGTCCAGACGATGTTGTCCCAAACAGCTGAAGTCGCAGTGGGGACACTGAAGAGTGCCACCAAAACCTGGAGAACACATTTGCATATATTGATTGACGCTACAAACGTTAGCGATCAGCAAACAAGTGCATAGACATGTGAGTGACATCAATGATCCCAACCCAATTGATCTTGCAACGAATTGCAGATCACAGGAGCCCTGGTTATACAAGATATTAAGTTGAAACTTTATGTTGGATCTTTTAACACGATCAATCTGGCGACAAGACAAGGACAGGGGCGTAATGTCTATGATCTGGTGTGTGGCCTGTGTGGGATATCACAATGCTTAACCGCCGTGGAGCCGAGGGTGGTGGAGACACCGTGGACGGTGGAGCCAAGGGTGGTGGAGACACCGTGGCCGGTGGAGCCGAGGGTGGTGGAGACACCGTGGCCGGTGGAGCCGAGGGTGGTGGAGACACCGTGGACGGCGGGGATGACTGATGAGGTCTGCCGAAAACATGTCTCCCAGAAACTGACCGTGGAGACGCCTCTGAACACAAAACAAACTCATCATTTTGACCCAATACCCTCCATGACTGACAACGAAAACGTCGACAATTTCAATGCCGTCAGCTCATGCCATTTTTCGCACAGAGAAGAAAAACTGGCCGATGGGGGCAAATCAGCCCCCCCCCTCAAATATGTTATATAGTAACAAAATGTTCCGGCTACATTCTTGGTGCCAGGCATAGACCCGGGAACAGGGGGGGGGGGAGGTGGGGGGCAGCGGGGGCGCTTGCCCCCAACTTGCCCCCAACTTTTTTGCAATGGTTTGCTAAAATGCTCACTACAAATAAATTTGTTGGGCAGACATTGGGGCAGAAAATAAATAGATTCTGATAGGAAAATGAACGGTCTCTCCAAAAATCAATCCAATAATACGGTGGCACCCATAAAGCGTGAGCAGTGACGGTTCAAATTAAAGGGACCCTCCCACCTTTAAAAAAGTTTATGAATTGGCATGAAAGTGATGTCGCTCGGTTCAGAAAGAGCGAAAACGAATATCTACCAAATTTCACCGAAAAATATTCACCGGTTTTCAAGATATTAGACTTTTACTTTTGTTTACTTTTTGGGATCTCCGCTGTTCCTAGCGACTTTATTTAAAAGTGCGGCATTTGTTGCGCGCAACGCAGCATATACCACCGCGTGCTACAAAACGTTTTAGTCAAACATTTAACGGACGTTCGAGAGCCTGATGACGTCATCAGATTTAAGTGCCTATACCAATACATTGTGGCACTTATTTGCACAGATGTCAAAATCAAACTCAAATTTCTTTGCGATGAAGTAATTGCTGGAGAAACGGTTTTCACGGCACTGATTTTCAAAGAACGTCAATCAAGATGGCTATCTCAACTCAAATCTAGTGTTAAGGTGGGACAGTCCCTTTAAGGGGGTCGCTATTTATGTATCTTACCCTATAGGAATTTTAGGTCTCATGGTGCTACGCATTTGAATTAAAAGCGAAGCATTTATAGACCAAAAGCATTCACTAAAACTGGAAAGGAAAACTCCTACATTCCGCCTACTTGGGGACAATATCCCTCCGTCCACCGTCCTTCTCTGTGGCCAGCTTTGCTCACCGGTATCCGACGGGTCCGAATTTCACAAGATGCTAAAATAATTTTCATTTTACCTGAGTTTTGGGTATAGGGTAAGGTGCCTAATTAGCGACCCTTTCCGATTTGCGACCTGCCTCCCTACAGAAAAACTGGTGGGAGAAAACGGGGTAAAAACGTCGTCAAAAGGTCAGCCATACTTTGGTTATCAAATTAAATTATTTTACGGTTGTCGATGTTTCTGGTGGGACGTTTCAGGTGAGTTTACATGAAAATGACGAGTTTCTTATCCAAAACGTGTGTGTTTGGGCCCTCTCTGATGAAAAGCGATGCACATTAGGATGATGCACCTTTTTTATTCTGAATCGACATTCCTTTTTCAATTGATTGCCGTTTTCCCATAGTGAATCGCTTAATTGTGCAGAGCATGGCGGTTAAAAATGTGTCGCAACTCATATTTCCTATTTGCGCCTGACATGGTCGCAAATAGCTCAAGAAGGGAAAGAAAGGGGAAAAGAGAGAAATGAAAATGAGGTGTTGCTGAAGCTTGCAATGTGTGGCAGGGGATGTCAAATGTCGTCACCGACTGCAGGGGTGCCGAATTCAGCGCAGACCTCGAATATCATACGAGAGAGCCCGCAAAATTTGGGTTTCCGCCTTCTTTTCGCCTTCGGTGCATCACGTGATCAGTTTTTACGTACATAAATGTGTTGGATAAACGTTCCTGTTCGAATGATTGAGTGCTTTGCGTAAAGGTTACCTTTTTGAGATAATATTTCATCTTTTCAGGCGTCGCATTTTTTGCCATTTTTAATATGGGGAAACCCATAGACATATTAGCGAGTGCGACCCTCCCCGGTCGCTAATCGGGAAGAGTTCCCTATAAGCGTTTTTTTTTTGCAATGGTTTGCCAAAATGCTCACTACAAATAAGTTAGTGAATACTGAAGCAGAAAATGACTATATCTTAATAGAAAAATGAACGACCTCTCCGAAAATCAAGCCAGTAATACAGTGGCACCCACAGAGCGTGAGCAATGACGGTTCAAATTAAGGGTGTCGCTAATTAGGCACCTTACCCTACCGTCGAACTGAACATCATCAACATTCTTTCGAACAAGTTTTATTTCTGTGTGCAACGACTCGTTGCGAACGACCGATGCAATTGGTTACTTTTTTAGATATCCATGGATGTTTTTTCTGGGGAGGGACGTCCCCCACGAATAGCCCCTCCCCCGTCTCCGACGCCCATGGTACGGCCATTCCCCTGTGTATTATGAGAGAGAGAGAGAGAGAGAACTTTGTATTTACAAACACTTGGTCCAATTCTACCAAACATCACATATCAAGGCGCTATCAGAGCAGCGTTCCATGCCACTCTAAAGGGCGAGTGCCACCCTATGTCACATTTAACCAATACACTGATAATGATATTTGTCGAACCATATAAACGCTGCACGAAACACCACGCTGCTTTTCGGAACATGACATCAAAGTTATCGAGACCTTCAGACACATACATAGCCAAGGCACTGCAAAATCTATCGTAGCCGAAAAAGATTCTGACTGCGTTGTTTATTATGCCTCCGCCTGTGTGCGGTAAGAGCTGATGCGTTTGTGAACCTTTTTCAGCAGGATTGTTTATGATGGACGACAATGAAGCCGCCGCCCGTATGACACAGCGAGTGACTTTTGAGATGTGATGAATCCAAATATCGTGCCGGCACATGGAGCAGCCGAAAGGCCGCTCCCCTGTGTAGATTCGCATGCTCCCCGTGAGGCCTAACCGGAAAGCGAACCGTGCCAGTCAGATGGAGCAGCCGCACGGTCGCTATACTGAGTGGCTCCTCATGGGTTTGGGGAGATCTGACCCAGCAGAGAAACGTGCCGCGAGATGAAGCAGCTGTGCGGGCGCTACTCGGGTGCGTGCGTACGCAGGTGTACGATAAGGTGTGACTGCTGAATGAACCGTGCCGGGCAGATGACGCAGCCAAACCGCTTCTCCCCTGTGTGGGTCCGCATGTGCCTGGTGAGATTTGAACGAAGAGCAAACCGTGCCGGGCAAATGGAGCAGCCAAAAGGCTTCTCCTCTGTGTGGGTTCGCATGTGGCTGGTGAGGCTTGGCCGGCAAGAGAAACGCATCGTGCACATAGAACAGCCAAACGGCTTCTCCCCTGTGTGAGTTCGCATGTGTAAGGTGAGGCTATAGCGCCGAGCGAACCGCGCCTGGCAAATGGAGCAGCCAAACGGCTTCTCCCCTGTGTGGGTCCGCATGTGTACGGTGAGGATATGCCGCTGAGCGAACCGTGCCTTGCAAATGGAGCAGTCAAAAGGCTTCTCCCCTGTGTGGGTCCGCATGTGTACGGTGAGGATATGCCGCTGAGAGAACCGTGCCTTGCAAATGGAGCAGTCAAAAGGCTTCTCCCCTGAGTGGGTCCGCATGTGTACGTTGAGGTTTGGCCGATGAGCGAACCGTGCCGGGCAAATGGAGCAGCCAAACGGCTTCTCCCCTGTATGGATACGCATGTGGTTGGTGAGGCTTTTACGCTCAGCGAACCGTGCCGGGCAAATAGAGCAGCCGTGCGGTTTCTCCCCTGTGTGGGTTCGCATGTGGCGGGTGAGGCTTGGCCGGCAAGAGAAACGCATCGTGCACATAGAACAGCCAAACGGCTTCTCCCCTGTGTGAGTTCGCATGTGACTGGTGAGAGTTGAACGAAGAGCAAACCGTGCCGGGCAAATGGAGCAGCCATACGGCTTCTCTCCTGTGTGGGTCCTCATGTGGCCGCTGAGACCCGATCGCTGGGCAAAACGTGCCGGGCAAATGGAGCAGCCATACGGCTTCTCCCCTGTGTGGGTCCGCATGTGTCTGACGAGATGTGACCGCTCAGCGAACCGTGCCGGGCAAATGGAGCAGCTGTACGGCTTCTCCCCGGTATGGGTTCGTATGTGTACAGTGAGATCTGCGCGTGTAACAAATCTGGCTCGACATTCATGACACTGATGCGGCTTCACACGGACACCGGGTGTCTTGTGTTCTTTGCCGTTAGTTGTAGCTAAACACGCGGCACCAGACTGCTCACACTGCCGGACCTTTTCGCCAGCGTGGACACGTCTGTGCATCGCCAGATCACCAGAACGTGTGAACGCCTTCCCACAGATATCACACTTGCACGGACTCTGACCGGTGTGCACACGACGGTGAGCGGTCAGACCGACTTGTTGAGATTGAGAAAACGTTTTGCCGCACACTTCACAGCGGTACGGCCGTTCTTTCGCGTGAGTCCTTCGGTGCCGCGTCATGCTGCCGGAGTGGTCGGTGACGTAAGAACACCACTTGCACTTGTATCTGCCGTTCACGCTTTGGCCGTGTCGTCTCTTCAAGTGTCTGCCCAGACAATGTTGTCCCAAACAGCTGAAGTCGCAGTGGGGACACTGAAGAGTGCCACCAAAACCTGGAGAACACATTTGCATATATTGATTGACGCTACAAACGTTAGCGATCAGCAAACAAGTGCATAGACAAGTGAGTGACATCAATGATCCCAACCCAATTGATCTTGCAACGAATTGCAGATCACAGGAGCCCTGGTTATACAAGATATTAAGTTGAAACTTTATGTTGGATCTTTAAACACGATCAATCTGGCGACAAGGTAAGGACAAGGGCGTAATGTCTATGATCTGGTGTGTGGCCTGTGTGGGATATCACAATGCTTAACCGCCGTGGAGCCGAGGGTCGTGGAGACACCGTGGACGGTGGAGCCGAGGTTGGTGGAGACACCGTGGCCGCGGTGGAGCCGAGGGTGGTGGAGACACCGTGGCCGGTGGAGCCGAGGGTGGTGGAGACACCGTGGACGGCGGAGCCAAGGGTGGTGGAGACACCGTGGCCGGTGGAGCCGAGGGTGGTGGAGACACCGTGGACAGCGGGGATGACTGATGAGGTCTGCCGAAAACATGTCTCCCAGAAACTGACCGTGGAGACGCCTCTGAACACGAAACAAACTCATCATTTTGACCCAATACCCTCCATGACTGACAATGAAAGCGTCGACAATTTCAATGCCGTCAGCTGATGCCATTTTTCGCACAGAGAAGAAAAACTGGCCGGTGGGGGCAAATCAGCCCCCCCCCCTCAAATATGTTATATAGTAACAAAATGTTCCGGCTACATTCTTGGTGCCAGGCATAGACCCGAGAACAGGGGGGGGGGGTGGGGGGGCAGCGGGGGCGCTTGCCCCCAACTTGCCCCAAACTTTTTTGCAATGGTTCGCTAAAATGCTCAGTGCTCACTACAAATAAATTTGTTGGGCAGACATTGGGGCAGAAAAAAATAGATTCTGATAGGAAAATGAACGGTCTCTCCAAAAATCAATCCAATAATACGGTGGAACACATAAAGCGTGAGCAGTGAAGGTTCAAATGAAGGGAGTCGCTAATTATGTATCTTACCCATATGTATAGGAATTTTAGGTCTCATGGTGCTACGCATTTGAATTAAAAGCGAAGCATTTATAGACCAGAAGCATTTACTAAAACTGGAAGGGAAAACTCCTACATTCCGCCTACTTGGGGACAATATCCCTCCGTCCACCGTCCTTCTCTGTGGCCAGCTTTGCTCACCGGTATCCGACGGGTCCGAATTTCACAAGATGCTAAAATACATTTTCATTTTACCTGAGTTTTGGGTATAGGGTAAGGTGCCTAATTAGCGACCCTTTCCGATTTGCGACCTGCCTCCCTACAGAAAAACTGGTGGGAGAAAACGGGGTAAAAACGTCGTCAAAAGGTCAGCCATACTTTGGTTATCAAATTAAATTATTTTACGGTTGTCGATGTTTCTGGTGGGACGTTTCAGGTGAGTTTAAATGAAAATGACGAGTTTCTCATCCAAAACGTGGCCCTCTCTGATGAAAAGCGATGCACATTAGGATGATGCACCTTTTTTATTCTGAATCGACATTCCTTTTTCAATTGATTGCCGTTTTCCCATAGTGAATCGCTTAACTGTGCAGAGCATGGCGGTTAAAAATGTGTCGCAACTCATATTTCCTATTTGCGCCGGCTGACATGGTCGCAAATAGCTCAAGAAGGGAAAGAAAGGGGAAAAGAGAGAAATGAAAATGAGGTGTTGCTGAAGCTTGCAATGTGTGGCAGGGGATGTCAAATGTCGTCACCGACTGCAGGGGTGCCGAATTCAGCGCAGACCTCGAATATCATACGAGACAGCCCGCAAAATTTGGGTTTCCGCCTTCTTTTCGCCTTCGGTGCATCAGGTGATCAGTTTTTACTTACATAAATGTGTTGGATAAACGTTCCTGTTCGAATGATTGAGTGCTTTGCGTATAGGTTACCTTTTTGAGATAATATTTCATCTTTTCAGGCGTCGCATTTTTTGCCATTTTTAATATGGGGAAACCCATAGACATATTAGCGAGTGCGACCCTCCCCGGTCGCTAATCGGGAAGAGTTCCCTATTAGCGTTTTTTTTTTTGCAATGGTTTGCCAAAATGCTCACTACAAATAAGTTAGTGAATACTGAAGCAGAAAATGACTATATTTTAATAGAAAAATGAACGACCTCTCCGAAAATCAAGCCAGTAATACAGTGGCACCCACAGAGCGTGAGCAATGACGGTTCAAATTAAGGGTGTCGCTATTTAGGCACCTACTGAACTACCGTCCGTCGAACTGAACATCATCAACATTCTTTCGAACAAGTTTTATTTCTGTGTGCAACGACTCGTTGCGAACGACCGATGCAATTGGTTACTTTTTTAGATATCCATGGATGTTTTTTCTGGGGAGGGACGTCCCCCACGAATAGCCCCTCCCCCGTCTCCGACGCCCATGGTACGGCCATTCCCCTGTGTATTATGAGAGAGAGAGAGAACTTTGTATTTACAGACACTTGGTCCAATTCTACCAAACATCACATATCAAGGCGCTATCAGAGCAGCGTTCCATGCCACTCTAAAGGGTGAGTGCCACCCTATGTCACATTTAACCAATACACTGATAATGATATTTGTCGAATCATATAAACGCTGCACGAAACACCACGCTGCTTTTCGGAACATGACATCAAAGTTATCGAGACCTTCAGACACATACATAGCCAAGGCACTGCAAAATCTATCGTAGCCGAAAAAGATTCTGACTGCGTTGTTTATTATGCCTCCGCCTGTGTGCGGTAAGAGCTGATGCGTTTGTGAACCTTTTTCAGCAGGATTGTTTATGATGGACGACAATGAAGCCGCCGCCCGTATGACACAGCGGGTGACTTTTGAGATGTGATGAATCCAAATATCGTGCCGGCACATGGAGCAGCCGAACGGCCGCTCCCCTGTGTAGATTCGCATGCTCCCCGTGAGGCCTAACCGGAAAGCGAACCGTGCCAGTCAGATGGAGCAGCCGCACGGTCGCTATACTGAGTGGCTCCTCATGGGTTTGGGGAGATCTGGCCCAGCAGAGAAACGTGCCGCGAGATGAAGCAGCTGTGCGGGCGCTACTCGTGTGCGTGCGTACGCAGGTGTACGATAAGGTCTGACTGCTGAATGAACCGTGCTGGGCAGATGACGCAGCCAAACCGCTTCTCCTCTGTGTGGGTTCGCATGTGGCTGGTGAGGCTTGGCCGGCAAGAGAAACGCATCGTGCACATAGAGCAGCCAAACGGCTTCTCCCCTGTGTGAGTTCGCATGTGTAAGGTGAGGCTATAGCGCCGAGCGAACCGTGCCGGGCAAATGGAGCAGCCAAACGGCTTCTCCCCTGTATGGATACGCATGTGGTTGGTGAGGCTTTTACGCTCGGCGAACCGTGCCGGGCAAATAGAGCAGCCGTGCGGTTTCTCCCCTGTGTGGGTTCGCATGTGGCGGGTGAGGCCTGGCCGCCAAGAGAAACGCATCGTGCACATAGAGCACCCAAACGGCTTCTCCCCTGTGTGGGTCCGCATGTGTACGGTGAGAGCCGATCGCTGAGCAAAACGTGCCGGGCAAATGGAGCAGCCAAACGGCTTCTCTCCTGTGTGGGTCCTCATGTGGCCGCTGAGAGTCGATCGCTGAGCAAAACGTGCCGGGCAAATGGAGCAGCCAAACGGCTTCTCCCCTGTGTGGGTCCGCATGTGTCTGACGAGATGTGACCGCTCAGCGAACCGTGCCGGGCAAATGGAGCAGCGGTACGGCTTCTCCCCGGTATGGGTTCGTATGTGTACAGTGAGATCTGCGCGTGTAACAAATCTGGCTCGACATTCATGACACTGATGCGGCTTCACACGGACACCGGGTGTCTTGTGTTTTTTGCCGTTAGTTGTAGCTGAACACACGGCACCAGACTGCTCACACTGCCGGACCTTCTCGCCAACGTGGACACGTCTGTGCATCGCCAGGGCACAGGACCGTGTGAACACCTTCCAACAGATATCACACATGTACGGACTCTGACCGGTGTGCACACGACGGTGAGCGGTCAGACCGACTTGTTGAGCAAACGTTTTGCCGCACACTTCACAGCGGTACGGCCGTTCTTTCGCGTGAGTCCTTCGGTGCCGTGTTATTAGACTGGGATAGTCGGTGACATAAGAACACCACTTGCACTTGTATCTGCCGTTCACGCTTTGGCCGTGTCGTCTCTTCAAGTGTCTGTCCAGACGATGTTGTCCCAAACAGCTGAAGTCGCAGTGGGGACACTGAAGAGTGCCACCAAAACCTGGAGAACACATTTGCATATATTGATTGACGCTACAAACGTTAGCGATCAGCAAACAAGTGCATAGACATGTGAGTGACATCAATGATCCCAACCCAATTGATCTTGCAACGAATTGCAGATCACAGGAGCCCTGGTTATACAAGATATTAAGTTGAAACTTTATGTTGGATCTTTTAACACGATTAATCTGGCGACAAGGCAAGGACAAGGGCGTAATGTCTATGATCTGGTGTGTGGCCTGTGTGGGATATCACAATGCTTAACCGCCGTGGAGCCGAGGGTGGTGGAGACACCGTGGCCGGTGGAGCCGAGGGTGGTGGAGACACCGTGGACGGTGGAGCCAAGGGTGGTGGAGACACCGTGGCCGGTGGAGCCGAGGGTGGTGGAAACACCGTTGACGGTGGAGCCAAGGGTGGTGGAGACACCGTGGCCGGTGGAGCCGAGGGTGGTGGAGACACCGTGGCCGGTGGAGCCGAGGGTGGTGGAGACACCGTGACCGGTGGAGCCGAGGGTGGTGGAGACACCGTGGACGGTGGAGCCGAGGGTGGTGGAGACACCGTGGACGGTGGAGCCAAGGGTGGTGGAGACACCGTGGCCGGTGGAGCCGAGGGTGGTGGAGACATCGTGGCCGGCGGAGCCGAGGGTGGTGGAGACAAGGGTGGTGGAGACACCGTGGCCGGTGGAGCCGAGGGTGGTGGAGACAGCGTGGCCGGTGGAGCCGAGGGTGGTGGAGACAACGGGGCCGGTGGAGCCGAGGGTGGTGGAGACACCGTGGCCGGTGGAGCCGAGGGTGGTGGAGACACCGTGGACGGTGGAGCCAAGGGTGGTGGAGACACCGAGGCCGGTGGAGCCGAGGGTGGTGGAGACACCGTGGCCGGTGGAGCCGAGGGTGGTGGAGACACCGTGGAGGGTGGAGCCGAGGGTGGTGGAGACACCGTGTACGGTGGAGCCAAGGGTGGTGAAGACACCGTGGCCGGTGGAGACACCGTGGACGGTGGAGCCAAGGGTGGTGGAGACACCGTGGCCGGTGGAGCCGAGGGTGGTGGAGACACCGTGGACGGTGGAGCCAAGGGTGGTGGAGACACCGTGGCCGGTGGAGCCGAGGGTGGTGGAGACACCGTGGCCGGTGGAGCCGAGGGTGGTGGAGACACCGTGGACGGTGGAGCCGAGGGTGGTGGAGACACCGTGGCCGGTGGAGCCGAGGGTGGTGGAGACACCGTGGCCGGTGGAGCCGAGGTTGGTGGAGACACCGTGGCCGGTGGAGCCAAGGGTGGTGGAGACACCGTGGCCGGTGGAGCCGAGGTTGGTGGAGACATCGTGGCCGGTGGAGCCGAGGGTGGTGGAGACAAAGTGGCCGGTGGAGCCGAGGGTGGTGGAGACACTGTGGACGGTGGAGCCGAGGGTGGTGGAGACACCGTGGCCGGTGGAGCCGAGGTTGGTGGAGACACCGTGGCCGTTGGAGCCGAGGGTGGTGGAGACACCGTGGCCGGTGGAGCCAAGGGTGGTGGAGACACCGTGGCCGGTGGAGCCGAGGGTGGTGGAGACACCGTGGACGGTGGAGCCAAGGGTGGTGGAGACACCGTGGCCGGTGGAGCCGAGGGTGGTGGAGACACCGAGGACGGTGGGGATGACTGATGAGGTCTGCCGAAAACATGTCTCCCAGAAACTGACCGTGGAGACGCCTCTGAACACGATACAAACTCATCATTTTGACCCAATACACTTAATGACTGACAACGAAAACGTCGACAATTTCAATGCCGTCAGCTCATGCCATTTTTCGCACAGAGAAGAAAAACTGGCCGGTGGGGGCAAATCAGCCCCCCCTCAAATATGTAACAAGTAACAAAATGTTCCAGCTACATTCTTGGTCCCAGGCATAGACCCGGGAACAGGGGGGGGGGGGGGCAGCGGGGGCGCTTGCCCCCAACTTGGGAGCCGAGGGGGCGGCATCCCCTCAACATTGAGGCAGCGAGAAAAGATATTTCCTCCCTTTTCCGGACTTCTTTCCTTCTTGTTTCCTTTATGCATCTACACATCAACACACGGCATTTTCCTTGCCATCTGAATGGTTTCTGCTGATACAGTATGGATTTGACAACATCTGCTATTGTCATCCCGCTTTGATTTGGGCCTGACCTTGGCCATAAGTTTGGCAGGCCAGATTTTATACTGCACCAGCTTGAGTCAACTTTGAGAAATACATAACGTACAACGGTGCAGTAAAATCGTTGCTATAGGTATAACACAGTTTACCCGCTCCGGGTGTGATGGAGGGGTGTGGGGGCAATGAGTGCACTGACGTGGCGCCCTCGGAGGGCCGGTATGGGATTGAAGCTCAGTGACACTCAGGGCTTTGTGTGGTGCCTTGGGTTATCGGTAGCACCCTCAGAATCACCGGCGTAGGGCCCTCAGAGCCGTCGAGTAAGGGGCCTTTAGAGGCACCGGTGTGGGGCCCCCATGCAGGTGCCGGTGTGGGCGCTCAGAGGTGCTAGTGTGATTCTCTCAGAGGCGCCGATGAGGGTCCTTACAGGCGTAGCTTTGGGCCCTCATAGACGCTGGTGTGGAGCCGTCACAGACGGGTGTTGGGCCTTTAGAGCTGCTGACGCGAACTCTCTACAAGCCGGCAGGGGGTCTCAGTGGCCGGCAAGGGGTCGTTAGGCCGGCAGAAGAAGTCCTGTGGGGTCCTTAGAGACCGGCATGGTACTGTCGGACGCCGGTGGGGCCCTCAGTCACCGGTGTGGGGCCCTCAAAAGTCACCAGTGGGTGACCTTTAGATGCGCAGGTGTTGGTTGGGTCCTCAGAACCGCCGATATAGGGCTTTAATAGGTAATGGTGTAGGCACTCAGAGTTGGGGGTGTGAAACCCTCATAGACACCGGTGTGGGCCCTCATAGGCGCCGACGAGGGCCCCATAGTTGCCGTTATGGGGCCCTCAGAAAAATAAGTGTGGGACCATCACAGGCGGGAAATGCCCCTAGAACTGGCCCCTCATAGGCCGGTAAGACCTCTCAGATGCCAGTAACGGGCCTTTGGAGACAACCGAGGTGCCCTTAAAAGCCGCAAGAGGCCCTCAGAAGCCGGCGTGGGTCCCTCATGGAGATCTTAGTTTGGCTATTTAGGGCCCATGGGGTGCTCTAACGAGCCCCATGAGGCCCTTCTGAGTAGAAATATGGCCATCGTTAACCCTCAGCGGTCAAATGGCGCCGCAGGGCCCCTCGGTCCCGAGGGGCCCTTTTATCCCGATTGGGGGGGGGGGAGTACGTGTCTCCTTAGACCCCTAGCTACGTCACTGTTTCAATGCATCATGTCAGGCATTTTAGGCTCGCCCCCCTCCCCAACTTGAAAATCGTTCCCGGGCCCCTGGTCCCAGGCTTGGCACATCACCCTAAACCCGGCCAAATGCTCTCACTTACCTACGTGTGTCACTGAAAGCAAAACTACTTCCGGTCCGCTTCAGCATTGGCGGAACCGTGCTCTCTTTTGTCACTAGCGTGAAAGACCTAGGCGTCATCATTGACGGCAAACTGAACTTTTCCGATTACATTGATTCAGTTGTAATCGCGCGTCAGCTCTCCTTATAAGGAGTCTGCAGGGCGTACGATGCGGCTGTTGTAATAGGAGTTATCGCAGCGTATTGTGCTAATGTCCGATCGGTCCTAGAGTACGGAAGTGTGATTTGGGCCGGAGCAGCACGCTCGCATCTAGAAAGACTAGAGTGCATTCAACAAATGAAAAAATGAAATGAACATAATGAAGTGCTCTAAGGAGGAACATGTTGAATGCAACTCAAAGAATAACTATTTAAACTAGGTCACCCTCCCGCGCCTACCGGCGCTAATCGTCGTTTGAACTATTTATATACACGGTGGTTTGAACATCTATATAGAAATCCCTGCCCGTCCTAGGTCACCCTCCCGCGCCTACCGGCGCTAATCGTCGTTTGAACATCTATATAGAAATCCCTGCCCGTCCTAGGTCACCCTCCCGTGCCTACCGGCGCTAATCGTCGTTTGAACATCTATATAGAAATCCCTGCCCATCCCGTCCATAATGCCCGCCTTTCTCTCTTTCTCTCTCTCTCTCTCTCTCTCTCTCTCTCTCTCTCTCTCTCTCTCTCTCTCTCTCTCTCTCTCTCTCTCTCTCTCTCTCTCTCTCTCTCTCTCTCCCTCTTTTCCTTTCCTTTCTCTTTCCCTCCCTGCCTCCATCCCTCTTCCCTCCCTCCTCTCCGCTCTCTGACTTTGTCGATCACTGATCCAATCGTATGCTTACTTACCCCTCCCCATCCGTCTCTCTCCCTCCTCCCCGTCTCCTTCATCGCACTTCTTCGCTCCCCCCTCCCTCCCTCCCTCCCTCGATTTCCTCCCCTTCCCTCTAGAGCACTTCATGGGCCGGATAAATCCGTTATACACGGATAAATCCGCGGACCGGATAGGATTGGATTCTAAATTTGGTAAAAAAGAACGGATATGGGCGGGCCGGATTTGGGAATTGAAGGTTGAACCCGGATCAAAACGGATCAAAATTTTTAACATTCAACATTGAAGTTAAAAATTAACCTAATGTGTTAAGCGGCAGGATGATACCTAGTTTACCAATGTGGTGATTTTCATGTGGTTTTAGGTTTATAAGCATGGTTTTTGGAACCATGATGGTCTGTGAGATGTATGGCTGTCTGGTCCCTTAGATTGAATTTGTTAGTCCAGTTTTGGGTGAAACCAGTTATTGGTGAAACGGATTATTACGGATATTTTTTGGAAGTTTGGCTGCAATACGGGCCATGGGTGGGCCGGATTCTGATATTCAAAGAAAGGCGGATAATGGGCGGATCTGGATATGACTTGCCGGATATGGGCCGGGCCGGATCCTAAAAAGCCTATCCGTGAAGTGCTCTACTTCCCTCCACTCCCTCCCTTCCTCTCCTCTCCCCCCACTCCAATTCCCTCTTGGTACTGAAAAAAGTACTGGCTAGTGGCTTCTTCCCCGCCCGCGCCGCAGATACAATACGTTTTATGTCCCAGTTCAAGACGCTATACGTATATTGGTACGCTCGTAATAGGTCACTCTCCCGCGCCTACCGCCGCTAATCGTCGTTTGAACATCT